TAACCTCCCCGGACCCAACTGCGGCCTCAGAGCAGTTGGTGAGCATGGCATTCTTGAAGGAGAAGCTGAAGGACCTACATTGCCAAAAGTTTGGGTAAAGATGTATTCTTTTTCTGATCAGATTGAAAGATAGCATTGACTTCAAGCAGCATGCGATTTCCCTCAGGACCACAAGTCTGGAAGCTTTGAAGTCCAGGGCATGGGGAACCCCTTCGCGCTCTTTGACCCAGAGGCCCAGGAGGCCTTTTTTCGGTCGCCTGGCGGTATTCCTGACTCCTTTCGCCTCTTGCTCAGGCGAAGCTTTGCAAGAGGCCCGGATTTGCATTGAAACTTCACGATCGCAATTCGATTTCAAAGTGATGTCAGACTCATTGACAACAGCGATTTCGTCCTTGAGTGAATGCGCTGTTTCGTTTTTATATGGTTCTTTTTTTCTGTGGTGTTTTTTTTGAAAGTGGTTTCCGATTTGATGTTGAAACAAAGAAGCTGAGGTGATCACTTTCGTGAGATGCGGCTTGAAGTTGCTTCGAAAGTGGACTCGGTTCTCTCCAGCCGGTGCTGCCTAGGCAGTGCACCCCAACGCTTCGAGTCAGAGGCCAGACCTTTGGCTTGTGTAGCAGTCATGCCAGCTCGGTTTCTGCAGGAGAGGTGCAGCAAAAAAGAGGGACAGCAGATGCAAAACAACATGTCTTGGATCAGCAGCAAAGCTTTGCTCCTGGTTGGTGATTTGGCTGATGCAATGAACGAGGGTTTACACCTCATGGGATGCTTAGATCAGGCCCGGCTTGACTCTGAGAAACTCTATTCTCAAGTCCAAGAGTTCCAGCGCATTCTTGAAGCGTTGTTTGGGGCAAACGGGGCAGCGTGGTCTGCAAGCAGATGCCGAGGCTTGTTGATCAGTCACGTCTACGAGTGTCTCGAGCAGCCCCGAGTCTTGGATATGCCGAGGTCGCGTCGTGTCATTGGCGGTGTGTGTTTTGCGACCGATTCAGCTGATTTGCAATGGGTCAAGAGTGAAGTGGGGAGTTGGATTGCCGCGGTGCTCAGCGGCCTCAAAGCAGAATTTCCGTCGTGGGAGACCAGCCAGAACTTTGCGGCTTTCAACGTGGAGCAAGAATTCGCGAAAGCCGTTGACTGGTCAAAGATGATTAAATGTGTGAAGAGATTGAGCCGACAATTCAAAGTTGATGAGGACGAAGCAGTGACGCAGTTCAAAACTGCTTGGCCGTTGGCAGTCCGCTTCAGGCAGGCAGCAGTAGATCAGAGGACAGGGCACAGCTGGAAAATGGCGATTGAGTCCTTAGAAAGCCGGCATCGACGAGGCAGCGCAGCTGGCTTCAAAGACCTCCGTGCCTTGCGCCTTTTGGTGGCTCGCTGGCAGTCTTTGACCTTTTCGACTTGTGGTGTTGAGCATCTTTTCTCTCAATCAGAAAGGCTATTCCCTGCTAGGAGGTCCAAACTGTGCGTTTCCAAACGCAGGTCTGAACTTGCTTTGATTTTTGGGCAAATGCCCATGGATGCTTTGGCAGTGAGGGCTGCAGAGGTTTGGAAGGAAGTGTACCCAGCTTCTCCGCAGCGGTTGCTTGTGAGATCCGACAAAGGCCTCAAGCCAGGACCAAGGAAAGACCATGTATCCTGGGCGTCGATCCACCAAAAGCGGCGTCGGGCAGTCGGTCGCATTCTACGGAAGCATGCGCCAAACGGCTCGGTCCAATTCGAAGCCAACACCCATGGAGCCAAAGCAGAAATTCAGCTGCAAGAGCACCAGCTTGCAGCCAAGACCTTGGAGGCCAAAACCTCTGGCCACTTGCTGGAGAAAGATCTGAAGGATCCCAGCATTAAGCGTTCGTTGAAGTTGGTTCGGCGGACATTGTCAAAGCAGAAAGCTGTGTCCAATGCCCCGAAGACAATCAAACTCAAAGCGCCTTCTCGGCCAGAAGCTACACCTCTCGCGCATGGACCCTTGAGAGGAGCCGCGTTGAAGAGGGCTCGTCCTCCTTGCGCGCGCTTCTATGTGGATGCTTCGGCAAACCGACTGGATCGCAGGCTGCTGGTAGTAGGGCTTGAGGAAACTCAAGATGTGCTGCAGTCAGACCTCGTCGTTTGCGCAACAGGGAGCAAAGCCTCAACCCGTGCTCAGATCGCCTGCTGGCTGACGGGCCCATGAGTGTTTTGTTCGCTCCAGCTGTCCAAGTCAAAAGACTGTGGCTCCATTTTTCTGCAGATTTGAGGGCTTCATCGCTGTTCGCTCTCATAAGCGATGCTGCCAGGACATTTCATTCCAAATGGACTATTTGTGCTGATGAGCATGGCTTCCAACGATGGAAGAAGCAAAAGCCTAGGGAATGCTACGAGGTTCTTTCAACCACAAAGTACAATGAACAGCTAGCACTTCATGGCAGCCTTGTCTTGACGCGACGTCATATTTTGTCATGGTCTGGATTCCTTGAAGGCATCAAGAGACCATTGTCCGTCCAAGATGGAATGCGAAGAGCTTCATCCTCAGCTTCCTGACAGTGGTCGGAGGCGCTACTGCTGATTCCTTGCAGTCTGCGTCATTTTTCTGCTAAATGGGTCAAGGAATGGGAGCAGTGAGGGTTTGAGGACGAATCGACGACGTGTCACACGAGGAGTACATGATTCTTGAAATAATCGAAACATCAAAAGGCAGAAAATCAGAGATGCTGAGATCCAAATTGGTTCTGACAGACACCCGTCCGACAGGAGTCATGACGATTTCTGGCTACAGCGTGTAGACTCACACATTTTATTAAAGGGGGAGGGGGGGAGGGCTGCAATGAAATGCACATTCAATACACCATCATGCAGTGTTGCATTGTAGGGCATTAAAGCACGCTGCCCCTTTGAAGGATCCAAGCCTACATCATCGCAAAACTTCCCATAGGTTGCTCCACACCAGAAGTCTCTATGTGCAAAAGTACAGAGGCTGACACATCTATAGGCTCAAAACGTGGGCTCCACTTTTGGAACGCTTTATAACCCACAAACCCTGGCACGAGCAGCCTTTGTCTTCAAACGCCCCCTGCAAACACTCGCCCACATGCCAGGGGCAAGTTCCAGGGGCGTGAGCTTGACAGACAGCTCAGAAAAAGTGAGCTTGAGATGGGTGGGGATCATGGGTGCAGTCCCATCCTTTAGGCTTTTTTTGCAACCCTTTGAGCAAATCCAAGTAGTACTCTATGTTTGCAACTATGAAGCCACGCCATTCGAGGCCAGATGTGCATCTTGCGAAGAGCTTTCTTCATATTATACTCATCTAAGGGCACCTCTTTTGCTTCATCATTCAGGATGTCTTCACGGATCAAGAAGAAGTATATGTGCCTCCTGCTGATCGGGGCCCCATACCAATACCTTAGCGTCAGCTTGTCTCTATTTAATCTGTGTGATCATGCTGTTGATGTTCCAACTTATAGGCAGACAGTGTGGCGGGTTGATAGTTGCAGCTGCAATGCGGTACCTGGAGTAGCTGGTTCTCATTGAAGCAGCTAGGTGAGGGTATCATGGAAATACTAGCTGCTGTCCAAGGCACTCTGGGCAATTGTATGCAATGAGATCATGGATAATCTGGTAGCCTCTCTCAAATCCCATGACATTCTCAAACAAGCATTCCTCGGAGAAAAAACACAACCGTAAAAATTGATAAAACTTCCACCAGAGCTTGCAGTTAAGGCTCTGCAGGCTTTGTTTTTTTGACAACATCTGATAGCGCCTTGAACAACTGCTTTGCTTCAGGGTCTTGAAGGAGTGCGGTATCCGAGTGGAGAAAACTATAGGATGTGCGTGGGAATCCTGCTGTACAGTGGAGAACCTTGGCAAGTGCAGTCCCATGAACTCTTACACGGGTGAGGGGTTGGCAACAAAGCTCCAGACAGCACCTTGTTGCCTAGCCAATTGACGGGCTTGGAGAAGACAGTGTTTGACAACCTCAGTTCACGTGACATAACAAATAGCCATCATTAAAGACATTGAAGAAAGCTGGATTGTCCGGTGGTAAACGCTGTGGAGAAGCTGCTGGCAGGAAAAGTTGCGCTTCAAGGATTCACGTGCTCCAGTCTTGATTTCACTGGCCGACCTCAATAGTATTCAAGTGTAACAGTTCCAGTATGGTCTCTGAAGCAAAAAAACCTGAAAGATAAGGCACAAATATCTCAACTTGTCCTCCTTGTGGGCAGCTTCAAACAACATCTACAGGGCCACGAATGGAGTGTCCACACCACTGCCTCAGATGTATGGCATGGACATGCCATAGACAAGTTGCAATCGGACGCAAAGGTGAAATGTCCATCAAAGGCGCCAAACCACCATGCAAGGCCACTGCTCTCCAGATACTGCGTCCCAGTCTCCAAGTATCTTATCTGGTCTGGAGACCGATCATCATCATCATCATCACCATCATCATCAGTAGATTCAGACTCAGAGGAACTTGCACTTGTCGTTTTTGACTCCGATTCGTTCTCACCCGGTTGGCGCTTGATGTGTGAAATGTAGGTTTAGACTGTAGGACAAATTGAGGTATTTGTCCCTTGGACCAGTGATCTAAAATTTAGGCTCTTAGTTAGTTCTTGCACCAGCTGAAATGCTCTTTCCTCTTTGTTGAAAGGCCTCTCCACTTGAGCCCCTCTTCTTTGAAGGCCTTGAGCCTCCAAACTTCAAAGAGCTAGTTTGATACTGGACAAGACCTGGTTTGGACTGGATAAGGTTAAGAAACAAGCGGCCTTGTAGTTTCGTGATTCTCACTTGGAAGTAGCCTTGATCTGATCCGACTGATCAAGCTGACAACCGGCTTTGACATGCACAAGTCATAAGCATGACAACTCCGCAGGGAACGCAATGCTTCACATGACGGCTTCTGACAAATATTTTGAAATGGCAACTTTTGTTCTTCAGAAAGCCAGGCTGAGAGACACACAGATGAGTACTGGATCAATTGTTTTGGAAGACACAAAGGGTATTCTACGCCTCCAAATCCCATCCAAAAGCCTGAAGTGACCAGAGGGCTGCCTCAGCTGTGCTTAGCTATGATTTGCAATGGAGTCAGCGCCCAAGCCTCTTAGCCAGCCTTTCTTTGACAGTCTTTAATGAGTCCTGGAACTTCTGACTTGGCTATTGGATTGGATCTATTCTTTGAATGACACAGTCCGCATCAGCTCAGGTTTGAGGTACCCAAACCATGGGTATCATTCTGGCCAAGAGAGAGGAGGCGGGCCTTGCAGCACCAGTATATATTCATTGATAGGCCAATAATCTTGGGGAATTACATTCGGGGAGGAAGTACTTTGTGCCTGCCACATGCTACCACTATGGTGTGCATATATATATATATGTATTTTATATGCACACATTTATATACACACACATCTTCAACATAGATACTTGATCTCGCTACTCATGATGTTGTACAACTCTAATTACTGGAGTTGGCTCCAAGGAGCGGATCGCCTTCAATCAGACGAGGGCGCGTGAGATGCTCAGTGTGAGATCTCTCGGGCTGTTCCAGTGGAATTCAAATCCTAAAGGGCCCAAACTAAAGGCACCATGAGCCACATTAATATATGTGCTATTATTCTTTAGTTTGAGGTCAGACTTGTCTTCGTTTTTTGGATGGATCTGCGGAAACATGCTGCTGGCACTTTGTTCAGGAGCTGCCGCCTATCTCGAAAAATGCCGTCCCGACTATGTTGAGGACCTTATTGTTATTATTGGTGGCTTTCAACCATCACGCCTTGGTGTACAGCAAAAAGCGGAGCGTTTTGCAATCTTGCTCATCTCTGCATTGCATATGTTGGCGCAGGATGACGTTCTGCTAGGGCTTGCTCCAGATGATGAGGACTCATCACTGAACCCTGCTGCTCCCGTGCAGATGTCTTTTGCTGATTTTCAGAAGGCATACAAGCTGACGACAATTGGGTTAGGACGCAGAAGAAAAGTCAGACGAAGACGAAGATGCAGAAGCAGAAAAGAAGGCAACGTCAGACTTTCTCAGTGGGATGTCATTTCTCATGATTGCGATGTCCTCAGACCACATGGATTTCAGTGGAGTTGCAATACGAACATTTAGGACGAAGAGGAAGAAGAGGATGAAGACGATGAGGATGATGAGAAAGAAGAGGAGCCAGACAACGAAACTGTCGATGAAAGGCTATGGAGACATTGTTGAACAGCAACATAGGACGAGAAGAAGCTCATGGCAGAAGCAAGCTCGAGGTAGTCCTCAGACAGAAGCATCTTGCACAGACCTATGCCTGCAAGCTAATTCAGTATTAAAAGGTAATGATCGCACTCGCTTTGAGAAAATTTCAGCACTTCTAACGTCCGCCTGACGCCTGTACCACCGACAGGGCCAAAGAGCGTGTGCAAGCTGAGCTGAAGAAGTTTCGCCAGGCCGCCGTGAAAGGCTTGGCCGAGACATAGCCGACATGACCTATCAAAGTCCTGTGCCCAACAGAAATTTACTGGCACTATTTGGAAAAGCCCTAATAATCCTAATAGGTTTGTTGAAGAAGGTGTGAGATGTGGGCTTGCGCTGATCGCATTGAAGCGCTTTTGCTTTGGCAGGAAATCGATGGCAGCTTGTGAAGATGACCCGCTCTCCGTCGGCCACTTACGGAACGATATGACATTGCAAGATTGCAAGGGATATATATATATGGTGTCTTGGTTCCTGATGTCCAGCTAGTGGATGCTTTGGCGGGTGTTTCATTGTTATTCGAACGAGTTCCAAGACATGCAAGCGGCACGGCAGCCACGGCAGCCAGCGGGCTTCTTCTGAGGCACTTGGCCATAGATTCTCCAGATCAACATGGCCCCAGTCTCAGTCACATGCGTCGAGCTACATATTAGTACAAACATGTACAAAGAAAGTGTGTGATCCTGGGGTAGTCGCCGACCTGTGGACAATCAACGTATAGATTGGGCTTGAAGGGAACATGAACGACAGCACCACTGATGGAACTCAAGAATTATACATGATTATACAATGTAATCACTAAGGATCATGAACTTGAGTGCTGCCCGATTGCATACTATTGTGTAAAAGGCCGTACTGCTCTTCATCTAGCTGCAGAGCATGGACAGCACAGAGCTGCCGGAATCCCAATTGTTGTTATTGTTCTTTACTTAGCGACATTGGCGCATACCTTGAAGAGTTGCCACAAGTTTTCCCTGCGCGAAACCTTGGATATCGTTCGCAGTTTGTACTTGCATGAATGCCGGCGTTTACTTGGCTAAAAAGATTTTGGAATATAATATAAGGTGTCAGTGACCAGCGTTTGCAAGGTAGAGATTCTTCTCGGTGCTCGATCTCGACATGATCCGCCCTCAGCATGGTGGCTATAAGTGGAACGTTGCAGCAGCTCTACTGTTCTGTTGACCCCAGCAGGCTTGCGTCCCAAGGATATCAAGACGAAGATGGGGTGGACACCGTTGCACGTTGCTGCATTCCATGGACAGGCAAGAGCCATGCCTGTAGGTGCTAAGCGAGAAGTTAAGTTTCCCTAAACATCTAAGAACCAAATGATTAGTGCGTGAGCTATCCTGCGTCCATATGTAGTTAGCTTTCTTGTAGCTACTAGCTACCTAGCTACTGCTAGCTACCTCTAGCCACTACCTCCCTCTTAGCGGCCTACCCCAGGGGCTTAAAAACAACAGGCGTTTCTTATTCCACTGGCTAATCCTACTCGCAGACCCACTTGTATTCAGAATGATAGGTGGCCTGCATCAACTTGATGCTCCAATCCACGGCAGATGTGAATGCCAAGGACTCCTGTAAGCTTTAAGCTTCGCCTTACGTGTCCTGACCCAACTCCCAGGAGAAGCACGGTTGCACTCCACTGATGTTTGCAGCATCATCTCCAAAGCTTGGAGCTAAAGTTGCTCCATATGTGGACCATGAACACATGCGAAGCTGGAATTTCATCGCTTTTAACTATATAACGCACTGGGGAAGCTCCGGCCTGGCCCAGAGTGCTTTCCAAAAGAACGCCCTTCGCTCTTAGGTTGTACCTTGTTGACTTGGTTTCAAAGAAAGATCGGGCGAGAAGGTTGAAGGCACGCAGGGGCCATAGTGCTGAAACTCATGGTGGAGTAGAACTACAAGAAACAAGTTGACAGTGGATTCTGAATACGACCGCGCCGTTATTTGTGAATCCCGGTGCTTCAAGTATGGTCTCTTTTGTCCATAGATGTTACGTCATGCGGTCTCAGCTGCTGCTGATGACTGAGGTCAAGATGCTCTAAAGGCACTGCGAGAACAGGAAGACGACCGACTAGATGCTGACCTTGCAGGCATTGACATCACCTGGAACTGTTCAGCATCTCTTTGTTGGGGTCAGTTGGGCTTCCTGCTTGTAGACTATACAGTCTGAACACATGAGGGATTAGGTTTGAGTTCCCGTAGCTTTGACATCGTGTTTGAATGTGTTTGATTTCATTTTTTCCAAAATGTGTGCACCCTGACAGCTGGTCTTGGCAAAGAGATGGGCGCTGGAAGTGTTTCAACTACAGCACCCAATGTAGTGGGAAGCTCAGCACATTGAGTGATGCTGAGAGTGCAGAGCTTTGCACACGGGGACCGTCCCTAGGTTTGGAAGTTTTATCCGAATCGCATTGAAATCTTGGTTCTGAATGCCTTGATCTCTTCACCGAAGATCAAGGCGCGGAAGAACAAGCGACGGGCTCAAATCCGGCCTGGCCTCGTTTGCAGGTGGATGCTTTTGACAATCGTCGCCAGACTGCCCTGCTGTATGCTGCACGCTTTGGGCGCACATTTGCTGTGAGCCGCCTGCTGGATGCTCGAGCCAACATTGGATTCGCTGATCGGGTGCCATGCTCAGAGAGTCTTGTCGTGTCTTGTCACATAGTGAGTCTTGAGTCTTTGAGCAAACAGTCGACTATATTGAGAAGCCCTCTCAATCCGCTTTGACCCTCAGGAAGGGCAAGTTCCGTTGTTCGCAGCAGCATGCAATGAACATTTGGACACGGTTGACCTACTTCTTCGAGCTGGGGCCAACATCAACGCAACTGATCAGCCTTGAGCTTAGCCAACGTGCTAAGAGCAGACATGAGAACATTCACAGTCTTTACGAATTGAAGCAGAAAGCACTGCATCACACTTTGAATCGCACACTTTGAATCGGAGTGGCAGAGTTCCTACATCATCGAGGTGTCATGGTGTTTTCTTCACAAAGTACTTTGTGACAGCAGGCTGAACTGAAAGAAAGTCTGTGCGACTGGAGGTACTTCCGAACACCCCTTCATGGATCGCTGGAATGCGGTGATGAGAGTATGTCGAATCTTCTTCTCAAAGCAGGTGCCAGCTGGGGCCACAGAATCTACGCGATGAAATTGTAGAGATACCAACATGGGAAACTGGAATTCACAATGTTATTGATAGGAATTACAGGGAATGTCAAAGGAATGCCAAATTAAGGTCAAGTCCAGAATGAATGTTGCATTTAAATAGTTGCAACCTTCACGACTAGTGACTCGGCTTTACACCCGATCTGAGGTGTGAATGCGTACGACTGCGAAGGTCGTACACCCATCATGCTTGCCATGGACAGGGGCAACCGTCGTTTGTTCCAAAAGATTGCCAGGACCTGAGCATGCTCCTGAGTGCGCTCGCATGACGACTAAGCTTTCGGAGTGGTCCTCTTCCCAAGGTGGAGAAGAAATCAAATCTTGATGTGCTGGACAAAAGAGGTTGGAATGTTGTCATCTATGCCATCGAGACACAGATGTTGTCAGACGTGGGAGCCTGAAAACTCTTTGTCAGAGCAAACTCAGGTTTGCATTGGGTGATTCTGTTCCGGCTTTGTAAGTGAAGTTTCCCAAGAAATCTGGGAGCCAAATGAATAGTGCGTGAGCTATCCTGCTTCCTAAGTACAGTAGCTACCTGCTACTACTAGCTTCTCCCTTACTTAATTAAGTAAGCGCCTACTTAATTAAGTAGGGAGGGGGGGAGCGGGCTTTAAAAAGACGGGAGTCTCCCAACTCAGGCTCCCTCAGACACCTTGCATCCTGCGTCTCGATGCTTTGAGGTTTATCCATTGTTGATGAAGCTGAACAAGAATGCAGCGATCATTTTGCGAGCTCGAGACCCTCAGGACAGCCGTTAGCCACATGATTTGGTCTTTTGTTTGTTTCTAATCACGAGAGCTAGCCTCAGCTAGCTGGAGTTGCTCTTGGTTTAGCAAAGGAATTGGGGGGTGGACGGCAGCCTCAAGACTTCAAAAATTTTGTTTTTTCAATAATATAGGTCTGGTTGTTTTATAAATCTGCCGAGGTGTCCGGTGTGCTGCCCTTGAAAGCACCACCCCTGCACAAACAGTACCGATGAGCAAAGATGAATGCATGAGCCTGGTACACAGCAAAATACTTCGACACCTTACTACCAATACTACCATATCAATATCTAATCTATTGGCTCCCTGCATCCCCTTCCACACCTCGCACACTACTCAACGTAGTCACAGCAACCACGGACCATCATCATTCTTGACTCTTGCTGCTTCCAATGTCCTTTGCTAAAGGGTTTATCATACCATGTCGTTGAAGTCCCCGGCAGCCGAAGCACCGAAGAAGCTGTGATTCAGGCGCAACAACACATGAGCAACCGACAAAATTATTGGAATACTAAATATGTAAGAGGCCGCCCTGTGCTTATAGAGAAGTGAATAAATCCTTGGCAACCGATAGGGGACGACCCAGCACCGATACCCCTATACCTACCAAGATTGTTTTGGTTGTTATTGTTTTTCGATGGGTGTGAATTGGAATCCAAGGTGCTTTTCAATATGAGTAGTTCTGAACCTTAGTGGGTTATGTTGCAAGAGCTATCACACCATTGTCAAGTGAGTTCGCCGATGAGGTTTCAATAATTAATGAACAACATTTTGGTGCTTACGCCGTGGAATGAGGGCGCTCTCACGGACAGCTCAACCGATACTAGTCGATACCATGTTTTGCAGACTTACATGCTTTGGTGCCCCTTGTCCCATTTGATGGGTGACACTATATTCAGGACCATTGCGGGTGTCCATGCAGATCTCTCATGTTTGTAGCTGCAGTTTTCATTTCTTAGCGTCCACATGGTAGAGTAGTTTCAGCTGATTGCAAGGTCTCCTACGGCCCTACGGGTGTTTACAGTAAGGCGGGCAAGGAAGTACAAGGAGGCATTGGAAGATTCTGCAAACATGTCAAATCACCAGATGATGCAGACATCCGATGAAATTAACGGGAACATTGGCAGACTACAACTGAGGAGACTGAGGAGTAAACACAAGCAACAACATTTGGCCAAGAAAAAGCAAAGCATTGTGAAAGCAGGTCACGGTCAGAGCACCAGCTCAGAATCCAGCTCCTCGAGTTCAATGTCAGATAGCACCAAAGGAGATGCTACTCTGCTGTTTGCTTCCGCAAGCCTTTCACAAGATACTCGCAGTTTCAAGCCCCGAACTGGAAACACAACCGCGCACCAGTCAAACCGCAACATGGGAAGCCTTCACAACCGATGCTTCACAAATGACACCATCATGAGATCACATTTCAAATGCCTAATTCTTCATAACCGATAGGGGGCGACCCAGTTTGGCATATGGCATATTGCATGAACAAATAGTTTTGTCCGCACCTCACATGTCTCAGATCTTGGTCTATTTGCTGGCTTGCTTGTTTGTATACGTGTTTTGTTGTTTCTGTGCTTGCACGTTAGCTTCCTTTCTTAGTTGTCTGTCTGTGTTTCTGTAATGATTTTGTTGTTTTGCTTTCAACCAAAACTTCACGGGCTCCGCACACAGAGGAGCCACTCAAGACCCTTCAGCTTTTTGCGTCGGAACCAGAAAACATGCCCAGCACTGGCTAGCGGCTAGCTTTCAACCACCTGGCCTCAAGTGGAACATGGAGTTGGTCAGGGATAGTGTGTCTCCGTTTATGACACTGTTCCAAACTGTGTTGTTTTGGCTGTGCCTATTGCGGCCAGGGCCTCAATGCCTTGCATCATGCAACGCAGCTGGCGAGTGCGGAACTCTCGACGAAATGCGTGCAGCAACTCACGAACTTGGATTTTGAGGCCAGGACAGGGAGACTTGGAGATGGACGGTTGGAATTGGAGTTCTTCATGTTAGAGGCCATCGCTATTAGGTTGGAGGCCATCGATAGTAGGTGCCATGATGTCAAAGCTTCTCTGTGGTGTGGCCAGATGCTTTCGGGGTTCACAGGGTGAAACAACATGATCTTCTCATGTCTTCTCCTTGCTCCTAGTAACTTCTTGTTCCTAGTAGTAAGGCCAGGAGCCCCTAGTAGCTTCTTCTCTATCCTGCCTAGGCTGCAACGATCGGTGACTGCAATGGCGACACTGCAATTCACTCTGCAGCCGAGCGAGGGCGCTTGGAGGCCGTGTAGGGATGACACGTAGGTCATAATTGCCAAACCGTTTGTTCGCATTTTGTAGTACATAATAATTATTGGTATCTCCTGTTCTTCAGGAACCTCATAGTTTTGCCCTGGCAGGTACTTCGCATCTTCATTGAGAGGCTTTCATCCTTGGACTTTTTGAACAATCGTGGAGAAACACCCTTGCACTATGCAGCGTTGCCCTCTCAGAAAGTCTTGCTCTGCACACCTTACAGGTACTGTAGATGTTTGCACATTGTTCTTGCAAACCACAATGTCTTTCTGTTTGGAAGAGCAACTTGCAGACGGAAATAAACACAGAAAGTCTGGTGCATGTTGGTCTCTACTTGGACAAGGCTAAGCCTGGTGCATGTCTGTCCGAACCATGCCGAGAGCGGCGCATCCCGCATCCCAAGGCGTGGAGGTCACATGGCCTGTGTGGTTGCACTGCTCCACGACGCTGGGGGACGGCAAGCATCTTGCGACGCGGGCGCCGTTGATTCGCATGGTCTTTCGGCCAAGAAGAGTGAGGAAGAGCGAGTTGAAACAAATTCCGGGATCGCCGGGATGGATATGCAACAGCGCTAAGCCAAGTCTTGTTGCCTAAACAAGAAGTTTCGGTTTGGGTTATATAATTACTTCTTTGATTGAGAGTATAATGTTTTTCGCCTGATCACTGAGAAGCTTGTAAGTTAATTGACATGACAGGGGTTGTTGTAGCGGCACACGCCACCGCCAGTAAGTGCTTCCATGGCCGTTGCTAGCAAGGTGCAATTGTGTCTTTGGTGAACCAGTCTTTGAGTCTTAACTTATAAGACGTGTGAAGCCCAGGCTGGAACCTATTGATGCATGCATGTGTCTCGGGGCACTTGGATTTAGTGAACCTCCTACTTCAGAACCGAGAGGCTGGGCCTCCACATGTGAGGAATCAGGGATGTTCCTTCGGTCAACAGATCATACACAGTGGGTTGTGCATGTGCTGTTTGTGGTCAGGGCCAACATCCAGATTTGGCCTTTGCACCCCTTGATGTGAATCATGGGGACACCGGAGGGTCGGCAACTCAGTGCAAGTGATGACTGTTGGTTTATGATGGTTTATGTATGTTCATGTACGGATTTGTGCCAACATATTCTTTGGTGTGAGCTTTCAATGCAGCGAGAAAACTCTGGACACTTGCGCGATTGTGACGGCCGGTTTTGGGGGGACATGTATCATGTATAGTCATTTATAGTTTATATGTCTACGTTTGAGGCAACTGGATGCCCTCAGACTCTCAATATGTTTTGCTCTGCAGTATGTGATATTTGAGGGTCAATGCGCTGTGTGTGGCTGCCAGAGAGGGGCTTGGCTGACGTGTTTAGAACGGCGGACTTTGGATGTCTTTAGATGTCTTTAGTCATTTTAGTTGCAGTCTGTTTAGTTCCAGTCATCCTTTAAAAGCCTTTGGGCCCAGAAATGAAATGGAGAAGAACCTTGCTCCCAAATAAACTTGAAATGGGAAGAGCAATGAAGGACAAAGACGGACTCACTGGTTGGGACTTTCACATGAATTCCCAGCACCTGAATGTGCCCACGTCGCTTCTCGCTGCCTGAAGACCTTCCAGATGATTCGCGTCGATTTGCCGAGAAAAGAGTATGCAACTTCCCTGTTTTGGTGTGAGTCCCAGTCTTAGACTGGCTCTTGTGATTCTGATGGAGTCTTCAATCAGGCCGTCGAAGAAAACACATAAATAAATATATAGTGTTACTAGTCTAGTAGCTTTTTGTTCCTAGCATAGAATAAATATCAACGATCTGACTGAAGCTGAGAACACCTAGCCCAGTGCTGAGCCGTGACAAGCAGAATACAAGATCAAGCAGGTAGTCCCACAAATGGTTGTAGGTTGTTCTTATGTCGTTTCCGCGATGGCTTTCCATGCCGATTTTTCAAAGAATGGGGCAATTCGCTTGGTGTTTCTCGCGGCAGGCATTGGCAGCTGCTGCCATCCCTGGTACTGTCTGGGTCAAATACGAGTGCCAAGGTTCCTTGGCACTATCAAGTTGACTTTGGATCACCATCAAGTAATTGGGAGGCAGCAAAGACTTCCTGTTCAACGCGAGTGTTAACCATGATTCATGATGTGTGAGCGATTGCAGGATCGTGATGGTTTCACCGCAGTGCACTGGGCAGCCATGGAGGATGAAGCCCTTACCATGTTGGGGCCTTAGTATCACGATGGCCTCACTCACATTCTCCACTCAGCATCATGATGGTTTGCCCTTGAGGAAGTGCCTGCTCGACCTGGGCCTCGATGCCAATGCCAAGGACTTCAAGGCCAAAGAGGATGAGCTTTCATTCTCGTTCCCTTTTCATTCATGCGACACAGAAGAAATAGATACATTCAGGATCATATTTATGATCTTCCGTAAAGATGGAGACTTCGTCAAGACACAGAAGGGCCTTGTGGATGCTTTTGTTCCTTTTGGCCCCGACTCAAGGGCTGGACTCCTTTGATGCATGCCTGTGCGCGCGGAGCTGACGCCTTCCCGGCTTGCTTCATGTGGCATGTCATGACTCCCACGCTGAGTTGACTGAGTTGAGGGCTGTTTTATTCTGACCAAACAATATGCCATCTTAAAATCATGCTCGGAGTCCTTAGAATGGCGATAGGGGCATTCCACACTTTTTAGGTTATCGACCATACGCTACTTAAGTCCTTGTCTCGACCCTTTTAGGCCCGTTGCTCACCTTACTCATGGACGTCCTGCATCAAAGAATCTTGCTAGTGGACTCGCCTTTTCTGAACTCTACGGACTTTCAGACACATTTTTCACCACAGGAAGTGGTCCGCGTGCTTGTGGACTTTTCTGCAGAGATCGATGCACGGAATTGGGTGAGACACGGGCATGACATGCTTAGTTGCTTAAAGAAGACCACATGTTGCCATGTTTGCAAGGATTCTAAGCCATGCTTCGATGATCTTAGAGCCTTTTGTTCACTTAGCCCTAGTTTGGAAGTTGCAAGCCGGCTGGACGGATAATTTGCAGGATGGTGACACGGCACTACAAATCACCCAGCGGCGCCGTGACCCAGCTGATGTTGTAGCAGTCACGAAGGAGTGGCAGCTGGCTGCACTTGCCAAGTGTGCTCTTGCCAAGTGTGCTCTTCCAATTGCAGCGAAACCATAGCTTAACTAAGCTCTCGCAGGACATTCTTTTGGACGGAATCATGACCTCAGATGAACCAGCAGGATGCCAAGTTGGCCAAGATCCACTTAGTCTCACTTGGCTGGAGATCGAAGTCTTTGTGACCCCCCCACCCACTTCGCCTTTCATCAGTTCATCATACTTCATCAGTTCATCGTAGTGCAGCTTCAGGTTTTGGACTTCAGCATCCATTTGTTTCTGTTCTCTGTTTCTGTTCAGTATTCTTGGAACATCAAGTCTTTTCTGTGAAGCCGAGGCCAAGGGTGGTGCCGTGAAGGCCCATGGTCACATGATGGTCTCTGTCCTTGAGGCCCTTAATCCGCTTGGAAAGGCCCGTAATCACCTCGAAATATCTCTCCACGCGTTCTAGGCCACGGATTTGTACCTCGAAGGGAAGACAGGATTTGTGAGGCAGCCCAGAGGACGCAGCACTTTTGAGAGTGGTAGAAGATGGTTTGTTATGGTTTGTTTGATGACAAGATACTCTGATGTAGAGCAAAGTCTTAGCGATCATCTTTCAGATTTCTTCTGAAGAATTGAACACATCCTCCAACTGTCTCATGCCATGCGCGCTGCTCAAAGCTCACGTTGCAATCACGAGGTGAATGCATCGCACATGATGCGCCGAGGTGAATGCCTATGTGAACCTTCAACTGCGTACACAATCTGGAGCTAGACCTCAGGTGACGCCATGGTGACACTGACGTTTTCGTACTGGTGTTTAAGGGTGTAATAACGGTGACACTCTGAAAGTGCACGCCGAGTCGTAGACTTGCCAACAAGCTTGATGTCATGTTTCATGTGCTACAGGGTGCCTCGGAGTGTTTGGATCACAGGCAGCATTCACCTCCTGTGTGCTTCAGAACTCATCACCTGAGTGGTGCAGCCCTAAGACTTTGCAAGCTAGTGGCAAGCAACTTCTGTGAAAAGCCTACCAAAGTGTTTCCTATCCAGCGTGGCCTCCAGTGCTCACAGTTGGATTGCCTCCACATGTTTGCGGGGTGTCTATACCCAGACACCTTGAAATCCATTGAAATCCTTTACAGCTCTACTGTTTGTTTGTCGGCTCACGCTGTGACTTGAACCTTTGAAAGGCATGAAGTCTTTCGCTTTGATACCAGCCACTTGGACCCCAGCGCTGTTTTGGTCGCTTGGGTGGCCGGCGACTGAGACAAGATTCATTCCATTTGAGTCTTGGGATAGGTTCGTTGGCGTTCGCCGTTTTTCCGACAAGGGTGATCTCTAGAAGAGATCACACCATGGCAAGGGTGTAGCTGGGTCTGCGATTTTCATAGAGCCACTGTCCTAAAGCCGGGAAACAGAAAGACATTCCGCCCATGGCGCTTGGCAACTTTTTTAGTTTGGACGCGACATCAGGTGGCAGCTCCGGGTGAGAACACCAAAGAGGTCATGGATGGAGCCGCTCTAGGCTTGGATGAGGTGCCTTTGGGCAAGTGAAGAGTTAAATTGAAAGTCTTTGACAGGTCAAGAAAGAGCCAGAGTGAGTGGTCAGAAACACCAAATCTATCCAAACCTTCCATCTCCAAATGCACCCAATCCTCCTCCATGAATAAGGTGAAACACTTTTGTACCTGTGGAGGAAGAGCTGCAAAACCTCTCTCACATGGAAGCGGTTACAGGGAAGTGTGGCACCAAGTTTTGTGCTCATGTGCATCACATCACATGACTTGACCTGCTGCATAAGGACCTTGCACCAAAACAAGCCACAGTTCACCTCGGCCTTACAGGAGTCAACAGAGCAAACTGCTCATCCGAATCCTGTGAAACGAGACAAACGACGTTCATCCCGGGGCGCTCGGTCGACACGAGGAGTCGTTTCAGCGGCTGATGAAGCGATCGGATCGTGAAGAAGATGCAGAGGCGTCGTGGGTTCTTGTGGAAGGGTCGGGAGTGTACGTTCCCGACTGGCATCTTTTTGTTTCTAATTGCTTCTTGCTACTAGTAGTAAGGCCAGGAGCCCCTAGTAGCGTCCATGCTCCTACCAGGAATCGACTTGCATTCAGATCATTCAATTTTAAGGCCCTTCTGCGACTAAAGCTTAGTACAGTAGGTACTTAAGCCTACTATATAGTGGCCTACCCCTCCGCGGCCTTAAAAAAGGAACGCACAAAAACGCCGCAGCTGGGATTGAACTTGGGACAATCAACGAAAACGGTGTCTTCGTGAGGTGCTGAGGCTCCGGAAGTTGGCCATGGCTCAACTCACAGACACCATGCCAGAGACTAAGTCGCCCTCCGTACAGTAAGTAGAATGCTTCGAAGTGGGATGAATCTGTGAGGCCAACAGAAGACTTGAAGTTCTCCCAGGCCCAAGTGAAGGCGTGTCTGGCAGATGCCAGGTCTTTTTCAGGATTGAAGCATTTTGACATGAGCTTACGGCCTCGTTAGTTAAGACGAAGTAGGTTGACTGGTTTCTCCCGAAGGGTTTGGGCTCTCAGCGTATGTCGTGCACCCTTTGTGGTGTGCGAACCTCGGAGCCGGACTCGAAGTGTACGTTCTGCCGAGCTAGGGACCGGTTCTGGGTTGTCTTGGACGAGCTCCCGTTCGAGCTGAGAGGCTGGGCAATCTCGAACCTCCGAATCTGGGCAGGAATCGTCCAGGAGGAACACGAGAAGTTCACCTCGCTTCTGAAGCAGCAGGAGGTTGTTGACAACACTGCGGCCCCGAAGTCAGCCGGCCCTAGCTTGGTCAGTAAATCTCCCACGGAGGGGAGAGAGTTGAACCTGAACGACAAGGCGAGTGACTTGAGGAAGGAAGGCCCTCAGACAAGCCCAAAAGGAGCAGAGGAGACACTTGAAGGACCAGACAAGAGCTGGATTGAGCCCAAGCGGGAGAAAGACAAGAACAGAAGCCCAAGAGGAAGCCCAGGAGTTGAAGAGTTAGACCTCCCAGAAGGGGAGGGGAAGTATTCGAGTGGCTCAAAGGCGCCTAAGGAGGAGGAGGAGAAGAGCAAGAGGAAGAGAAGCAAGAGCGACAAAAGAAGAGAGAGGTCAAGAAGTAAGAGATCAGGAAGAAGGAGGAGAAGAAGTTCATCGAGGAGGCCAAGGAGCCCGAAGGTGGAACGAGAGAAAGGTCGAAGCAGTCATCAGGCAGGACAAGGCAAAGAAAAGAAAGCAAAGCCATCCGTCAGACCCCCAAGGACACCTTCACGTTCACCGCCAGGAAACCGGGGAGGACCACCTCCTAAACAACCGCCTGTAGCAAGGCGCGGCGGACCACCTCCACCGGAGCAACGACCAACCGGTCGCCAGTGGTCATCAGGTCCATTCCAGGCGTGGCAGAGGCAACCCCAGTTCTGGGGAACCAACAAGGGGCGAAAGAAGAAGGAAGAGCAGTACTACTTCAGGAGGTAGTACGAGTCCGTCGGACTCCCTTCAATGGCATTGCGGAGACCAGCAGCAAGAGTTGAGAGGAGAGAAGAAGTGAGGAGAGAACCTCCCAGAGAAAGGGGAGGAAGAGTGAAGAAACGCCCAGCCGGAGCAGATCCTGGGAGACCAGAGGCTGTCGAGGTGAGAGGCGGTGCAGAAGGGCGACTGTTTGAGGAAGGTCAAGCAGTGAGATGTCAGAACATCCCGTTGGAACTGCTCAGAAAGCGGCTCCCGGTGACAATCACGGGCCGTTACTGGGGGGACCACGCGAGATCTCAGGCTTGGTGCGAGGGATTCAAATTCGTGGCAAGGAGGACGTAGAGGTCGAGGTGGACCTTCAGGGCACGACGACCGAAACGATCTTGCATTGGGCGACAGGGTCCTCGGAGAAGGTCATGCGCATCCACATGTGCGGAGGCCTATGCGAGGCTATGTTGGATGCAGAAAACCTCCTACATGGGGAGGAGATCAAGATGAGGAAGGGAGAAGACCCAGCCTGGGCTGTGAACCTGATCGACGAAGGACGTTCAGGGGTGAAGAAGGCAGGGGAGGCAGCTCCCGAAAGAGACCAACCGAAGGAGAAAGAAGAGAAGCGAGAGGCAGAAAGAGGAAGGAGTCGAGAGAAGGAGAGGAAGAAAAAGAGAAAGAGGAAGGGGAGATCGTCCAGCGAGGCACATTCTCCCAAGGGCGAGGACAAGAAGAAGACGTCCATTCGCGCAATGGCCCGCAAGAGTCTCAAGAGCGTCTTCGAAGGTACGGGCATGGATCCAAATCCCAAGGTGAGAAAAAAGATCACAGCAAAGGCATCGAGGAGAGCAAAAAAGAAGAAGAAAAGTTCATCGGGGAGCTCATCCACGGAGTCGAGCAGCGAGTCAACCGACGAGGAGAGTGGCGAACTCTTCGAGGAGACCCAAAAGGTGAGGAAGATAGGTCGCTTCGCCCCGGGTGCGCTGACGACGGCAGGCTGCCGCGAGATGGCGAGCAACCTCCTGAACTCCTCAGGAGGCATCTGGGATCAGTCGGAGGGTGCGCTTCAGCCCATTTGCTGCCAGTATTTCCGACAGGTTTTGAGCGCACGCGTGACCGGAGGTCAATCTCGCGAAGCACTTACCCTGAGTTGGTGCCTCGACTTGCTGATGCAAGGACGAGTCGCCGAGGCTTCAGATGGCCTCATGCAGAGGCTGAAGGCCATCGAGATGAGCGCCCAGGGGGCCAGTTGGTCGATATCGCAGCGGATCGAGTTGGTCCCTGCGGAGAAGCCAATCATATCCAGCCGTGCGGAAACGCGAGAGGCCATCAAGGAGTCCAAAGAGGAGAACCGCACCCGAGCAGAAGCCAGCAAAGGAAAGACCAAGGGAGATTGGCCAGGAGGTTGGCGAGATACGCCATGGCAACACGAAAAAGGAAAGCCAAAGAAGGAAAGGGCAAAGGAAAAAAGGGCAAGGAGAAGGAACAGGGGAAGAAGCAGGAGGCTTGAGGCCGCAGAAGGATTCAGAGGTCGCGGAAGCGTGCAGTGAGGTTCAGCCTGGTGAGGAGAGCCAGGCAAGTTTCTCCAGCAGCAGTGTGGTTGAGCCTTCGTTAGATTCAGCTGCACTGGGTACAGAAGCCAAGCGGCGCCATTTAAAAGGGGTGGCCCTGGCAGAAGAAGCAGGTGTGGACGCCTTTGAGCCCGTCACAACCTTGCGAAAAGTTTGCATGAAGCCGCCGTGCGGGGGAGAAGACTTGGTTAGTGTTTTTCCCTGGGTTATTTCCATCTTAGTTGAAGCTAGCTCCAAGATTGAGTTGCCTTTGCAGTGCATGACCCAGCCCACGGGCGACCTGTTTCCGTTGCCCACTGAGATGGGGGTACTCAGGGAAACGCTGCAGGTTCCAGATGAGGTTGCCGTTGTGATTCGAGGTATGTGCGTTGCCTTGAACTGCCTTTACGGGGTGGAGTTTTAGAACCCTTTCTCACCAGTGGCTCTCCAGGTAGGTGTGCTGAGGTTCCTCGAAGGTCAAACCAGGACAGTATTGGAATGGGAGGAGAAGTTTGAGGAGACATCATGGCAGGAGTTCCTACAGGTAAAGACCATCGATTACTGTGGGGAAGAAGTTCTTTGTGCTCAATACACCACATGGGATAACCTTTCCCCAGCGATGCCCTCTGAGATTGCCTCGGTTCCCTTGGCTGATGTGGTTGAACTTGGATGTAGGCACTATGTGATGAATTTCGCATCGTATATTTTGCCCGAGGAGATGCAGAAGCCAATGAAGCCTCCTCGATTGATGATCAGCGACGAGGCGTGGCCCCGAGTGTGTGAAGGGTTGTTGGGCAATGGAGTGTGCATTGCACTAAAGGAAGCCGAACTTTATCATGTGGGCGGTCGACCCCTCCTAAACGGACTCTTTGGAGTCCCCAAGGGGGAGGAGCAAGGAGGACACCCCATCCACCGTTTGATCATGGATCTTCGACCGGCGAATCTCGTATGTCGTGGCATCGATGGAGACGTCTCCACGTTACCCACTTGGGCGACGATGAGTCCACTGCAACTTATGCCGGCAGAGGATCTGGTCGTGTCGTCTGAAGATGTTCGTTGTTTCTTTTATATTTTCCAGGTGCCTCGGGAATGGTCGACGTTCCTTGGTTTTAACAAACCCATCCCGCGTGAGCTGTGGCCGGATGATGACGGGCCCTATTTTTTAGCCTCACAGGTGCTCCCCACGGGGTTTAAAAATAGCGTGAGCCTAGCACAGCGCGTGCATCGGGCTATGGTGAGGCGTGCGGGGGGTTTAGTTGAGGAGGGGCTCAAGCCAGAACAGGAGATACGAAAGGACAGGCCTTTCTCTTCATCATCAACCCTGCACAGAATTTATCTGGACAACTTTGACTCCCTGGAGAAGATGGACAAGAAGACAGCAGAGCTCCTAAGGGGGGAGCCAAGCGCTAGCATCCTGGCACTCGAGTCAGAATATGAGCGGTGGGGAGTCCCTCGACACCCTAAGAAAGGAGTGGCTCGGGCCTTGAAGGCAGAGGTACAGGGTGCCATCATTGATGGGGTGAAAGGGATAGCTTATCCCAAACCGGCGAAGGTCTTGAAGTATGCCCAACTAGGAAGTCTCCTGTTAGGGGAGAAGAGGTGTTCGGTGAAGCAGATCCAGATCGTCGCAGGAGGCTTGGTGTACATGAGCATGTTTCGGCGACCCCTCTTGGGCTCCTTGAATGCAGTGTGGCGCTTTGTCCAGGAATTCAAGCATTATCCCCCAGTGATCAAGCTGGAGATTCCCCATGAAGTCAAGCTGGAAATTGCTAGATTCATCGCATTGGTCCCCCTGGCACAGATGGACTTTAGGTTGGAGGTGAGCGCTGAGGTCACGGCGAGCGATGCTTCTACCAGTGGAGGAGGGCTCACCCGGAGCATTGGTCTTACAGGCTTTGGTGAAGCAGCAGCCAGAGCTAGTGTGCGGGGGGATGTTGCGGAACCATCTGACCTGTGTGCGGTCCTCACCGTGGGGCTCTTTGATGGGATTGGCGCATTGAGAGTGGCAGCAGACGCTTGTGGTTTCCCAATCCTGGGTCACATCAGCGTTGAAGTAAAGAAGGAGGCCAGCCGCGTCCTAGAGAGCAAGTTCCCCGCTACATTGTTTGTGGAAGGTGGAGTGGAAGCCGTGGACTCGGAGATGGTGCGTGGTTGGGCAGGAAGGTTTTCCCAGGCCTCTCTAGTTCTCTTAGGTGCTGGACCACCTTGTCAAGGAGTGAGTGGTTTAAACAGTGACCGACGTGGGGCCCTGAAAGATCACCGGAGCTGTTTGTTCAGTCACGTGCGGCGCATAAAGGAGCTCCTGAAATCTCATTTTCCTTGGGCACAGGTCAGGTACTTGGCAGAGAGCGTGGCCTCCATGGACCGCAAAGACCGCGAGATCATGTCCCGAGACTTTGGTGACACCCCAGTGAGGATAGAGGCCAGCGGGGTGTCGTTAGCCCGTCGCCCTAGGCTGTACTGGCTGGATTGGGAGTTGCAACCAGGTCCAGGTGTTCGCTTTCACCCGAGAGTTGACCAGGGGATGGCATCATACTATGAGACTGAGCTGCACTCCGTGATTGACCCCAAGGACTTCTTAGAGCCAGGCTGCGTCAAGACATCAGAGGAGCCGTTTCCAACTTTTACCACCTCTCGACCGCGTTCATGGCCGGGAAGGAGGCCAGCAGGCCTTGAGGAGTTGAAGCCAGAGGAGAAAGCTGTTTGGGAAAAGGATAAGTTTCGTTTCCCCCCTTACCAATACTCTCATCGCCTACTTGTCAAAGAAGGAAGCGGTGTGCGCCGAATCCCGTCCATTCAGGAACGCGAGACGATCATGGGATTTCCTCGCAACTACACTGTGCATTGCATGCCAAAACAGCAACAAGGAAGCGAAGCCCATGAAGATGAAAGAAAGTCCTTGATCGGCAACAGTTGGAATGTGACCGTGGTTGTTTGGCTTCTCTCGCAGCTTGGTCATCTGCTGGGGCTATGCATGGCAAAGACACCTCAAGAAGCGGTGGAAGCGACGAGGCCCGGGGCCGCCATGACAGTAGGAGGGGTGTTGCAGCGACAAGCCATGAGGCGCATCAGGCGCTCAGGGACCGAAGGGGAGTACGAGCTTGTCTCTAAACTCCTAAACATGGTCAGCTTGAAAGGAGAGGACATCATGATCCAGGCACCTAGTGAGGAGACGCTTCGCTACCATCGTTTGAGGGCCAGCTTGCCATCAGCTCTATGGAAGTGGAAGACTGTCATGGGTTGGCCCTGGAAGGGATCTCCTGAACACATCAATGTCCTCGAGATGAGGGCAGCGCTCACTTCTCTCCGCTGGCGCATTGTGAAGAAGAAGGCCTTGCGAACAAAATTCGTGCACCTAGTGGATAGTTTGGTGTGTCTCCACTCCCTGTCAAGGGGACGCAGCAGCAGCAGAAAGCTTCGTCGAACGATGAGTCGGATAAATGCTTTGCTCCTTGCCAGTGGCTCACATGGCGTGTGGGCTTATGTTCACACGAAGGAAAACCCAGCAGATGCGCCTTCGAGGCGCCCCGTAAAGAAGAAATGGTGAGTCATAGCAAAGCATATGTAGAAGGCAAAGACAAAGCATCCCGACAACAGCAGAGGCGAGCTTTGGGACCACTACGTCACCTAGCTGTTCAACCAGCCACACGAGCACGATATGACAAGGCCCTTGAAAGATTTCGCAACTTCCTTCGAGAAGAGAGCAGGAGATTTCCAGATGATCCCTCGACGCTTGACTTTTGGTTGAGCCACTACATTGAATTCCTGTGGGAAAGTGGAGAAGGCCGAGCCTTAGCTTGTGATTCCATTGCAGCAGTCCAAGACTACCGCCCATCGGCCAAGGGGAGGCTCCCATCCTCCTGGAGACTGATGAAGACATGGTCCTCCACTGAAATTCCCAGTCGTGCACCTCCATTACCCATGGAAGCTTTGGACATCCTCGTTGGCTATAGCTTGTTCAAGAAAGATGACCTTTTTGCCCTTTCTCTTCTTTTAGGTTTCCATGGACTTCTTCGAACAGGTGAACTGTTGGGCATCAAAAAGGCACACATAGAGCAGAAGGGACCCCGAAGTGTCGCAATAGTCTCCCTCGGGATGACCAAAGGTGGACGGCGGCAAGGCGCAGCCGAAAGTGTCACAATCCGCGAAGAAGATACTTTGAGACGCTTATGGCAATGGAAAAATACCCCAGGTTCTAGACCTTCACTCTGCGAGGCTGCACATGTCTGGCGAAAGAAATTTTCTGAGTACTTGGAGGCGACTGGTCTCAGTGAGCATTCTTTTAGGCCCTACAGCCTGCGAAGGGGAGGTGCCACCTCCTATTTTGCAAAACACGGGTCGCTAGACAAACTGCTCATAGCAGGTAGATGGCAGGCGGCAAAGACCGCGAGAATATACATTAATGAAGGACTTGCGGTCCTGGCAGAATTTCAATTGGCAACCAATGCTCAGGCTAAGGCCTTTCGAAGGCAGTATGAAAGGTCCAAATCTTTAGAGCTCCAACCCCTTGAGCGTGCCCGAATGGGCAGGGCTGGGGGAACTGGAAGGAAGCACAAGAAACCCAGGAAGTGAACTTTGTTTTGAATTCGA